TGTGCCACCACTGCCTGGCTTTGAATGCATTCTTATAATCACTAATAGAGAAAAGTTCAGCTATTCTCTAGAAGATGGAGAAGTCTATGAAAGGAAGATTGTATTTCTCAGTGCCAAATATGGATTACCTTTTCCTTCCTTCCTTCCTTCCTTCCTTCCTTCCTTCCTTCCTTCCTTCCTTTTTATTATTCCTTGAAAAAGTACCAATCCAAATTCCCACTCCCTCCCCTTGTCCCACTCCCCTCCCTCTCCCTCCACAGACCCTTCCCCACACCCCTCCAACCCTAAGTGAGTGCCATGCACCCCACCCTGTGGAAAGTCCAAGGCCCTCCCTACTACATCTAGGTTGAGCAAGGTTTACATCCAAAGAGAATAGGATCCCATGAAGCTGGTATATGCAGCAGAGACACATCCCAGTGTCACTATCAGTGGCCCCTCAGTCCCAGCTGTCAAACCCCTTCAGAGGGTCGTGGTTGTTCCTATGCTCGTTCACTCCCAGTTCGGTTGGAGTTGGTGAGCTCCCATTAGCTCAAGCAAACTGTTGGACAGATATGAGAGCAAGGAAAGAGATATCTTGATTGAGGGAGCCATTATGGAGTTAGCAAGAAATCTGGCTCTAGAAAAAATGCCCCAGAACCCACAGGGATGATCCCAGCTAAGACCCTAAGCAATAGAGGAGTGGGTGTCTGAACTGACCTTACCCTGTAGTCAGACTGATGATTATCTTAAATATCACCACAGAACCGTTGTCCAACAACAGATGGGAACAGAGGCCATGACCCACATCGGAGCACTGGACTGAGCTCCCAAGATCCAGTTGAAGAGTGGAAGGAGTGAGAGTATGAGCAAGGAAATCAAGAAGATGAGGGGGTCATCCACTGAGACAGTTTGCATGGATTACTTTTTTCTTGCTTGCTTGCTTCCTTCCTTCCATCCACTTTCCCACTCTGTCCCTTTCTCTTTTCCTCTTGTGGTGCTCTCTTCTTAGTGTACCTTTAGAAGTATACACCAGAATGCCCATTACTCATCTGTACTAAAGACCAGCTCTCCTAAAATGTCAGTCAGTCCTGCAGACCAGTGTGTAATTTTTAAGTCCCTTGGCTCAGGAAGTGCTGCTTACCCTCAAATCCCATTTTCCTCTTTCATTGTTACTGACTGATCACTCTGTGAATGGGATCCAGAACTATGGTCCATACTAAGTGATGCTTTGCCACTGAGTTGCAGCCACTTCTCTTATTACCATCCATGCAACTTAATTTGGAAATTAATACATCTTTGTTCCTCAGATCCTTCCTATGAGGAACATAATATTTGTTACCTGTTTATGAACATGTTTTTGGTTAAATGAGGTGAATTACGCTATATGTCTGTAATTGTACTCGGGATATATAGTAATAGTCTAATGATTATAAGCTATTGCAATAATGTTGTAGGATGATATGAGCCGGTATTTGATCATCTTGAAGAGAAAGCTACTATATTTTACTATCACCTCTCATGTTCATCCTGATCTGTTTATTCTCCTTGAGATTCTTATTCCCCTTGAGAGTTTCATTCACAACATTATATCTGAACATTTTGATATATTTTCACATTTGTGTCAGGTTATGTACCTAGACATAAATTCTGTATATCATATCTCAATTACTTCACTTGGACATGTCTACTTTTTAAAATCTTCTGCCCAAACAAATTTGGGATTTGATGTTTTATGATAAAAATCTAAGGTGTTCTCATCTGTGCTCATGTAATATATACTCTTAGAATGGATTATAATGTTTACATAAGATTTATCAAAGATATATAACTCCAGTGACATCTTGGTTTTAGGTTTCTGCTTTCTTGTCTTATTGTTGAGCAAGTGTAGAAGTTTTAGCTTCATGAAACTAATCTGAGGAGACAGAAGGCTGTGGTGACATAATGTGAATGCTGGATGGGAGATTTGATTAGAAGTAATGCTTCACACTGATGGGACTAAGTGTTTGGGGGTCACATCTGACTTTGAGTCCAGTATTAACAGACATTTACTCACTTGGACACTTGCTTCATCAACTGGCATAATAGCATGTATGCCCATGTCTGTTGAATGAATGATCTATGGAAAATGAAAGAACTCATCCTTTTCATTGTCCTCTGAAGAGGAAGAAGCTTAAGATCTCCTGAAGTCATATAGCTTGGTCAGCTTTGATGATCTTTGGAATCTAATCCTTCATCTAGAGTCACATGATGGCGAGAGCAAAGAGGAACTGATAACAAATTAGTTTCAGAATCTGAGCATCACATTTGATGTGTCACACGAGTACTTATAAACAACAGAATAAGGGTGGGGCAAAGACTCTGGGAGAAGTTGATAGTGAGTACTGAGTTTCAACTTTTGTCATAACGGAGCGAGAAAAACACAAATACAGTACTTGAAAATACTGAGTTAGAAAATACTGAAGGTTTCCCCTAGTGTCTGTCTGTAAGAACTTTGATTTATAATTTCTACTATTTTTTAAAAACATATAGGATACTAAAAGTTAAATGTCTTTACAAGTATTTTAAGATAAAGAAAAAGGGTAATGTAGATATGGAAAGAAGAGCTGTAAAGCTTCTTGGCCATGATTCATTAATTAAATGCATTTTCTTGTCTTAGCAGTGTTATGAAATACATATTTTATTTGTGTTGTAGCTGGATGGCCACAAATACAAATTCAGATAACTCACAAGTAAACACCCTGTGTTTAGATGGTGAGACAAGAATCAAGCCAGAACATTTTAATTTTTGTTTTTTTTTTTTTTTAATCTCAAACTCTTCCTTTGGAACACTCAGCCCTAAATGTGATGTCTCCATCAAACCTTTCACTTTAGGGCTCAGGGAATCCTGAAGAAGAGGCGGCAGAAATAGTCTAAGAGCCAGAGGGGATACTTGAAACAAGTTCCTCTAAATCAACATGAGCAAAGCTCATGTGAACTCATAGAGCCTGAGGCAGCTACACGGGTTCTGCATGATCTGCATCAGGCCCTCTGCATGTAGATTATGGTTTTTAGGTTAGTGCTTGTATGGAATTCCTGAATGTGCAAACAAATGGGTCTCTGTTTCTTGTGTCTTCCTTCTTGGCTCTTTTCTGTTTGTTTTGTCCAATTCCAGTGTGTTAGTTTTTGTTTTATCTTTTTATTATTATCCCTTAGAAGCCTCTCTGTTTTCTAATGAGTCAGAAAGAGAATGGATACAAATAGAAGGGTAGGTGGGGAGGAAGTAGGAGGAGTAGAGGGAGGGGAAACAGTGTTCAGGATATAGTGTGTGAGGGGGAGAAGTCCATTTTCTTTCTTTTGTTTTGTTTTTGTTTGGTTGGTTTTAGTTATTTTGAAGACAGAGTTTCTGTGTGTAGCCCTGGTTCTCCTAAAACTTGCTCTGTAGACCAGGCTGGCCCAAAACTCAGAGATCGGTGCCACCACTGCTTAAATAAAAATTCTATTTTCAATAAAAGAAAATAATCCAAACTCTATTTTACTTCTTTTGGCATAAAAGGGTTCGGGAATTTGTGTCAGCAGGTTTTTGTGTTGGACATAAAATTCTCACACCTAAAGCTTGGGAGGAAGGCACATAGCTTGGACAACTCTCAAAGTCCTCAGGAACTAAAGGCACAGGCATTCTCTCAGAGAGCAGGATACCTTTGCTTCAGTGACTCCCGGTTCCTATCAGTGTTTTACTCAAGATATTTTGCTTAGCAGGACTAAGAAATCTAAAGGAGGGTCATTTAGTTTAGACAGCCCAGTTGTCGCTGTCTAGCACACACATAAAAGCCTTCTGAAACACAAAGGCCACACCATACACTGAACACATGCTGAATGGGAAATGGGTAAAGCAGTAGCTCCCTTTGTCCTCGAGGACTTTGGCTGTAATTATGGCACATCTGGGCCTTGTGATATATATGTATGACACACGCGTACCTCATAGGGGAAAGCAGCAGTTCCCTTTCTTTGTTAGGGCTTTTGCTGTAATTATGACATATCAGGGAATTGTGACATACGTGTTTGAGCCACTACGGCTACCCTAGAGCCTCAGTCAACAAGAGCTTAGGTCTTGTCCAGCTCTTGAAGGACTTCCGTGGAACTCTGCAGCTTTTTGAGTCTGTTCTTTGATACAGAGAAGCCACACTTTCATCTTCTCAAAATGGATCTTGAAAAGTTAACTGTAACTCAGCCAGAAGCTAAGGAGACAGGAGGAGGGAGAGAAAGTAAAAAAGGAGGAAAAAGTGGAGAAAGAGATGAAGGAGAAATCGATGAAGGCCGAGGAGGAGAAAGAGATGAAGGACAAAGAGATAAAGGAGGAGAAAGAGATGAAGGCTGGGGAGGAGAAGAAAGAGATGAAGGCAGGGTAGGAGGAGAAAGAGATGAAGGCAGGGGAGGAGAAGAAAGAGATGAAGGACAAAGAGATAAAGGAGGAGAAAGAGATGAAGGCAGGGTAGGAGGAGAAAGAGATGAAGGCTCGGGAGGAGGAGAAAGAGATGAAGGAGAAAGAGATGAAAGCAGAGAAGGAGGGGGAGAAGAAGAAGGAGGTGAAAAACGAGAACAAGAAAGAGAAAGAATTGAAGGCAGACAAGGACTAAGAGAAGGAGGAGAGGGAGAAAGAGAAGACGGAGAAGTGGGAGGGAGAGAAAAAAAAGACAGAGAAGAAAGGCTCCTAGTAGCTAAGGAGGTCAGTGAATGGTCCTTGGTCCTACCTAGGAGGACTTGTAAGCTCCGCAGATTTGCCATGGTTTTTCCGAACCTGAATTCTGAGCTGCTAACTCCAGAAGGTAGAGATACAGGGAGCGCAGGAAGGCGCTGGGAGTGAGAGCCGGGAAAATGAGGCGCGGGCGGGCGGGCGCGCGCAAGGCTCGCAGGAGGAAGGAGCGCATGGGGCGGGCGCGGGGCGTGGAGAGCAGTGGCTGTGGGGCTGGGCTAGGCAGCGTTGGCTTTTAACCTGGGTTGTAGAGGCGGGGGAAGAAAGCAGAGAGAAGGGGCGGTGTGTGGGACCCAGTTGGTAGGGAGAAATTGGAAGCAAATGACATCACCGCAGGTCCCAGAAAAGGGGAAGAGCCAAAAGCATTGGCCGGGTCCTGGATATTCAGAGGTCGAGTCCAACCTGAACCTGGCGGGACACAGACCTCAGTGCACCACGGAGACATCATGCAGAAGTCGCCTTTAGAGAAAGCCAGCTTTATCTCCAAACTCTTTTTCAGGTGAGGGGCTGCCCAACAGATCTTTGCAGTTGTGCTCATGCCAGAGAAGGGAATAAATATGGGCAGATTTTGGGGAAACAGGAAGAGATTTTTGTTATTTTCGTTTTGTTTTTAAGGGTGTGTTGCCATTCATTGTTTTAAAGAAAATATTGATTTTGTAGAATAAAATGAAGCTGATTAGATAGGAAATAAGATCTGCTTATAACTGAGAATCAGACTTGCAACACCTAAATATGTTGCAGAGCAATAGATTTCTTAAGTTTTTTTTTTCCTGGAAAAGCTGTAAATAAGAAATTTGCTTAATGGAAACTTCTTAAGATTGGTTCATTGTTTTCTCCCCAGGAAGCTTGTCTGTAGGTGTTATGCCTGTATTAGTAGGTGCTCAGAAAACATTTGTTGATTGAATTTGTAGAAGTCGAGAAAGTATATTGTACTTTTTGCTGTTGTAATATTGAGTAAGCCTAGCATGCACACCCCAGTTGCATTATTCTTTTCAAAAATGTGAGCAAATAAGTTAAAATATTTATCTTTAAGAAGCAGAAATGTTAAAAGCAATACACTTATAAATGCAATTACCATGGGGATATGAAGCTGGGATTCTACCTACTGAAGCTATACCCAATTGACACTTAGGACATTGTTCTCGTCTTCTACTTTGCTCAGCATGAGCCAGATAACTCGATTTAATAGGATTTTAAAATTAGATTTTAAGTCGGAAGACCTAGGCAAGAATAATTAAGTACTTTGAATTTGCCGTGTTTTGTGATGCTTCATCTACTGTGTTCCTCTAGTGTGAATGAATGAAAAGGATCTGCTCTCTCTCTCTCTGACTCTCTGCCTCTCTCTCTCTCTGTGTCTCTCTGTCTCTCTCTCTCTGCCTCTCTGTCTCTCTCTGTCTCTCTCTGACTCTCTCTGTCTCTCTCTCTCTGACTCTGTCTCTCTCTGACTCTCTGTCTCTCTCTCTCTCTCTCTCTCTCTCTCTCTCTCTCTCTCTCTCTCTCTCTCTCTCTCTCTCTCTCTCTCTCTCCCTCTCTCCCTCTCTCTCTCTCCTCTCTCTCATGGGACCTCACTTGACTCCCAGCTCCTCAGTGAATCAGCAAACTAAAGTATCAGAAGTGTCACATATTTTCTAAATGTGCCCTGTTGTGTGGGTAGGAGGCAAGGCTCAGCTTTGAGTCTTCCTGAAGTTACCTTGGCTGCAGGTCTAGAGCTCAGGTGCCTCTGCAGGAGAGCTCCTCCGGGTGGATGGGAGAGAAGGTCTGTGCCCTTTGGAATCACCTTTTGTATTCACAAGGCCTTTTGTTATTTCACCCATAAATGTAGCTTATCGGCCTTGATCGATTTTCCTACTACTCACAGAGTCACAGTGTTAATTGTCATAAATTGTACGCTTTTATGAGAGCCCTTTGCAGAACCTAAATGTCAGTGCTTCTGAAAAGTAAGTTTTCAGGAGAATGAATGTCTCTTACGTATTTTCCCCACTTAGTATGAAGAAACTTAGATTGTTCATTTACCAGCGTTTCAAAAATCTCCTCTTTTACAATTCAGCTAATTTATTTTAGCACTTTACAAATGCTCTTAGGTGGATTTGGAAAGGAAAAGTATTATAATGGCTGTGAAAATTGCTAAGAGCATACTCATTTCTGTTCTTCAAATGATTTCATAATCAGTTGCTTTAAGAATAGGTGTGTTTTTAAGAGTTAAGTTCCTACTATTTATAGGAACTGACATTCAGCTAAAGTACCAGTCAGTAATAGAAACTTCCTTCTGGACTATACTTTTTAAAGGTGAAAACCTTTTCTCCCCCGTACTGGACTAGGCAGTGTCGCCTAGTATCAAGGGCACTGGGCTCTGGGTTCCCACCACTTGGACTCAGTCTTGCTTACTAGGCAAGTCCTTTCACAGTTCTGTGTGACTTGGTATTAACTTGGAGGCTGTCAATGTGCATACGACATAGTGAGTTAATCTGTTAAGAAATGTGTCCTGGGCTTACTGAGGAAATGCTAACTACTATGATTATTTTCTACATTTTTATGTTCTTTCCAGTACCATGTTCCTCATTTCTGTAAGACAATGAGTTTAGTTCTTTTGGGTATAATTTTGTGGCTATCAACCTATATATGTGATGTGTATGTTTGAGAAGTTAATGTATGGGATAGTCTCAACTAATATGGATTTCCTAGCTATGTAGAGGAACGTTGTGTGCTCAGATCTCCTTAAATGCCCTTGAGACATACTTTCTGATCACCGTTTCATCAGTTCCAGGGTCATAAAAGACTAAAAAGGCTGAATTTCATGTGTCCACTATTATGGTTGGGGTTATGAATTTACAGAGAGTGAAAATTTGGAAGGCATTGGAACTGTTCTAACACAGAAGACAATTTTACCATGAATAATTCGAGTGTTTTGTGGAAAACATGTACAGTAGCTTGAAGATGTATGATAACATTTATCAAATAAGTTGTTTTAGAACAAGTGGTGATATACTTGCATAGAATTTATGAATCATATATTAGTGGGACTAATTTCTAAAAACCTTTGATAATAGAGAAATATTTGAAGTTTACGGTTTCATATAACTGTAATAAAAAGATCATACCTGATGGGTACTTTTGTGTGTGTGTGTGTGTGTGTGTGTGTGTGTTTGTTTGTATCTGCAGGCCAAAGGGCAGTATAAGGTATCACCCTCAGAAAGCCCATCATCTCCTTTGAGACAGGTCTTTCATTGGCCCGAATTTCACCAATTATGTTAGACACACTTTCCAGGGAGCCCAGGGAGTCTTCCTGCCTCTGCCTTCTCAACACTAGGATTATAACTATGAGTTACCTCACTTACCTTTTTACTTGCGTGCTTGGATTTGAACTCAGGTCTTCATGCTTGTGAAGCACTTTACTGACTGAGCTAGGAACACTTATGGAAAACTGGGTAGCAACATGTGCATTATGTTTCTGATCCATGCACTATCTTATGTTTGTCTATTGGGCAAGACTTAGGCTAGCAAATCCAAAGGCCAATTTTGATGTATGAGGGTGCAATCATGTTATTTAGGAAGCCTGGGATAGCTGAATTCCACGTGTCCTTTAGTTAGTTGAAGGTGCCATTCAGTGCCTATAGCTCCAGGTTTCTATGCTATCGTTTGCCTGTTTCTCCAGGAGGTATTAGATGAAGCTGCATCGAGGATGGGGACCCTCGGTTTGGACAGTGTACAAACACTGCCCAATGTTGGCTCTCTACAGCCCCTTGGGACTCTCTTCTATTTGTTTTCCTTTTGCTGATCATGTTTTTGATATTACACAGCTCAGAGTTTTCAGCTTGGGATATATGTTAGTTTCATGCCAGTTTGTGTTGGTTTGATGCACAATCTAAGAACACCTCCTGTAGAAGATGTGGTGAAAATTGTCATTTACAATGTGTATGTATAACATATATGATACAGTTCAATTTGTTGATATCACAATTATTAAATTTCTTCCATGGTTTTACAGCACATATTACACAATACACTTTTAATATTCAATACCTTGCTACCAAGAGCAGACATGTTATCTGATGTAGCAAAGAAATACCCCTCACTGTGCACTTAATGCTGATACAGAAGAGAAATCAAGGCTTTGGGTTTTCTCTGTGGAAGTTGGGCTTACTGTGATATATTTAATTCATAAATGTTGAAACTTGTTTAAGAGATCCACGAATAAATATTACTACGAAGTATATTATTACTGTTAATGTCCTTGCCCAGGAACCTGTAATTTCAGGGTGGTAGCACTATAGGTAAGTATAGGATTGGTAAACCGTAAGGGACGGGTGGTAACCATTTAGCATGCAGTTAGGCATCATTTGTTGAAACTTTAAGACACCCATGAGTCAGCAGCAGTTTTGGCCATTTTGATCCTCTGTTCCCATGTGCGTTGTGTAGAGCGTTTCCTCAGAGAAAACTGCAAAGCAATTTTCCTCAGAGAATCCCTGCAAAGCAATGAGTTTAAGAGGGATAAACTATGAAAGAGGTCTGTTTGGAGACACTGACAGTGATTTCATAAATATGTTGTACATTATCATAAAGGGAAACATTGTTTTAGTGGCTTCCCTTCATACTTACAAATGGAATGGATGCAACATGTTGGTTATTTTGCTTGTTTGTTTTTCTGAGTAAAATTAACATTACAAAGTGGACTTTTCATAGACTTGATTGTCAGAGAATTTGGGTTTTTAGCAAAAATCCTGTAAAAGTTCATGCTACTATTAGGCGACTTACATTTCTACAGAGCTTTTAAAAATGTGGTTTTTGCAACTGTGTCCATGTGATGAGGCTTGTCAGAATTTCTGTATAGCCTATTAATGGCTGTCTATTGACATTAATGGATATTTGAAATTGTAAACTAACTTGTATTGTAGTAGTCAGACCATTTCAGGACTCCTGGGTTACGTGGTTCTAATAACTATCTCTTGTTGAAATTGGCTCCATTGTGGTCAGCTCTAGAGATCCATGCATATTTATATTGATTGTGTTCAGCATTCTGACATGGTGACAATTACTCTGATAAAATTGATCGGGGAAACAACTGTTGACACATTTCCTGTAGAGCAAGCTTTTCTTCAAATTTTCCCTGTGATGCTTATGCCTGGCCCTTTAGAAGATAGCCTACTTGATGAACCTTTGATCTAGGTTGAGGAAATGGTTTGAAGATTTTTGAGTCTTTAGCATTGTTGTGATTCCCAGACAGGAAGACATTCTCTTGATATCACCAGATAATCTGCCACAAAGAGCCATGTTTAAGTAATATTTCCTTGTGGGTCATGATTCAGACCAGTTATTGAAGGGCATTGCCATTCATTTATTCACCATGACTGTATTCTTTGCTAGGCATTAAGGTGGTAGAGGTGTTGCCCTATGAACAATATCTTAAATTAAATATCTTAAAACTGAAGGTTTAAAGGGCTTGTAGAAGCTCTCAGCAGAGACCCCTAATCTAGACTTGTGCCTGTCCAGGCTGGTTTGCTA